TCCCTATGGGTCCCTGTGGGGCTCTATAGGGTCTCTCTGCGTCTCTATGCATCTCTATGGGTCTATGGGGTCTCTCTCTGGGTCTCTATGGGTCTCTATGGGGCAGTTATGGGGCCTCTCTATGGGGTCTCTATGTGTCTAGAGATGGGGTCCCTATGGGTCTTATGGGGCAGTTATGGGGTCCCTATGGGTCCCTATGGGTCTCTATGGGGCAGTTATGGGGTCTCTATGGGGTCTCTGTGAGTCTCTATGGAGTCTCTATGGGTCTCTATCGGGTCTCTCTGTCGGGCTGTATGGGTCGCTATGGGGCAGTTATGGGGTCTCTATGGGTCTCTCTATGGGTCTCTATGGGTCTATGGGGTCTCTGTGAGTCTCTATGGGGTCTCTATGGGGCTCTATTGGTCTCTATGGGTCTCTGTGGCCTCTATGGATCTCTATGGGTCTCTGTGGGGTTTCTATGGGGTCCCTATGGGGTCTCTATGGGTCCCTATGGGTCTCTATGGGTCCCTATGGGGTCCCTATGGGGTCTCTGTGGGGTCTCCATCTCCCCATATTCCCCATATCTCCCAATGACACCGCACTCTCCGCCCTCTTTTATTCCTCTTTATTTATTACTTTATTCCCCCCCCCTCCCCTCATCTCATCGCTTTCCCCCCCCCTCCCCCACCCCCACCCCCACCCCCAGCCCCACCCCCAGCCCCCCTCCTCACCGTGACCAACGCGGACCCCAAAGCCGCCCTATGAGCCGCCCCTCCCCCCCCCGGCAGCTGCACCAAGACGGTCAGCACCGCGGCCACCCCGTCCTCCGTGGGCTCCAAGGTCACCGCCCCCACCCCGACCCCCACCCCGACCCCCCGCCTTTGGGGGGGGACCCCCACGGGACCCCCGCTGCGACCCCTGGAGGACCACGGCCCTACAACTCCTCCAACACCGACACCGAGACTTCCGCCAACACCTCCGACACCACCCAGACCTCCAACAGCTCCACCAACACCTCCGACGCCACCCAGACCTCCAAGACCTCCAACACCTCCACCGAGACCTCCACCAACACCTCCAATAACTCCAACACCACCAACAGCTCCACCTACACCTCCAACAACACCTCCACCAACACCTCCAATACCTCCAACACCGACACCAAGGCCTCCACCAACACCTCCAACACCAGTACTGCCTCCTACACAACCAACAGCACCACCAACACCACCAACAGCTGCACCAACAGCTCCACCGCCTCCAAGACCTCCAGCACCACCAACACCGAGACCTCTGACACCAACCCCACCAACAACACCTCCACCAACACCTCCACCAACACCCCCAGCCCCACCAACACCTCCACCAGCTCCAGCACCACCAACCCCACCACCAGCACCACCACCACCTCCGGTCCCACCACCGCCAGAAGTCCCCACACCACCACCGGTCCCTCCAGCAACCCAACCACCACCACCACCAGTCACACCAGTCCCACCAACACCACCACCACCAGTCCCAGTCACACCAGTCCCAGTCACACCAGTCCCACCAGTCCCACCAGTCATCCCACCATCACCGCCAGTCCCACCAACCCAACCACCACCACCAGTCCCACCAGTCCCACCAGTCATCCCACCATCACCACCAGTCCCACCAACCCAACCACCACCAGTCCCACCAGTCCCAGTCCCACCAGTCCCACCAGTCCCACCAGTCCCACCAGTCCCAGTCCCACCAACCCAACCACCACCAGTCCCACCAGTCCCACCAGTCCCACCAGTCCCACCAGTCCCAGCCCCACCAACCCAACCGCCACCAGTCCCACCAACACCTCCAACCCCACCGCTCCCAATCCCACCACCCGCACCCCTACCGCCACCCACCCCCCCCAGCCCCCCAACCCCAACCCCGCCCCCCCAGCCCCCAACCCCACGCTCGAAGGCCACGGTGACGGTGGCGAAGGGCCGGGAAGCCATTTGTGTCATCTCCTGCAGATGCCGGCGCTGCTGCCGCCTGGCGTCCCAACCCTGCTTGGCCTTCCAGAGCAACACGCAAAGAGCCAGGAAGAGGAAAAAACACGAGAAGAAAACCGAGAAGAAGACAAAGAGGTCGATGTGGGCCTGATCCTGTCTGAAAAACAGCAATCCCTGAGCCGGGCCGTCGGAACCGGCCAACACCACCAGGTAGAAACGGGTGGATTTCAGAGGGTGAAGCTGGTGGGGGTAGGTGAGAACCAGGCGGTCCCGGATGTCACGGATCACCAGCGCCGGCCACGGGTCGCGCACCGTCACGTAGGTGACCAGGCCTGAAGCGCGTTCCTCGCGAAGGTAGGGGGCCGGGGGGGTGGGGGAAGGGGGCGGGGAGGGGGTGGTGGGGTCTGGAGATCGGAGGTGCCAGGGGTCGGGGGAGTCAGCGGTGGGGTGGTCGTAGACGTCGGGGGGGTCATCGTAGGGTTGGTCGTAGATTTTGGGGTGGTCAACGTCGGGGTGGTCGTCGTTGGGGGGGTCGTAGATGTTGGGGTGGTCAACGTCGGGGTGGTCGTCGTTGGGGGGGTCGTAGATGTTGGGGTGGTCAACGTTGGGTTGGTAGATGTTGGGTTGGTAGATGTTGGGGTGGTCAACGTCGGGTTGGTCGTAGATTTTGGGGTGGTCAACGTTGGGTTGGGCACCATTGGGGTGGTTGTAGATGTTGGGGTGGTCAACGTTGGGTTGGTGATCGTTGGGGTGGTCAACATTGGGTTGGTGATCGTTGGGGTGGTCGTAGGTGTTGGGGTGGTCAACGTTGGGTTGGTCGTCGTTGGGATGGTTGTAGATGTTGGGGGGGTCATTGTAGGGTTGGTAGATGTTGGGGTGGTCAACGTTGGGTCTGTAGGTGTTGGGTTGGTCACCGTTGGGGTGGAAGATGTTGGGTTGGCCACCGTTGGGGTGATTGTAGATGTTGGGGTGGTCGTAGATGTTGGGTTGGTCATCGTTGGGGTGGTCATAAATGTTGGGGTGGGCATCGTAGGGTTGGTAGATGTTGGGTTCAACACTGGGGTGGTCATCGTTGGGGTGGCCGTAGATGTTGGGTTGGTCTTTGAGGGGGGGGGCAGTGTTGGGTTGGTCATCGTTGGGTCTGTAGGTGTTGGGTTGGTCAACGTTGGGGTGGTAGATGTTGGGGTGGTCGTAGATGCTGGGTTGGTGATCATTGAGGTGGTCATAAATGTTGGGGTGGGCATTGTAGGGTTGGTAGATGTTGGGTTGGCCATCGTTGGGGTGATCAATATTGGGGTGGTCATGGTTGAGGTGGTCATAAATGTTGGGTTGGCCATCGTTGGGGTGGTCAACGTTGGGGTGGTCATCGTTGGGGTGGCCGTAGATGTTGGGTTGGTCTTTGAGGGGGGGGTCAGTGTTGGGTTGTTCGTCGTTGGGTCTGTAGGTGTTGGGTTGGTCATCGTTGGGTCGGTAGATTTGGGGCTGGTTGATTTTGGGGGGGTGAAGGTCGAGGGTCTGGTAGTCCGGAGAACGAAGGTCGGGGTGGTGGTGGTGGTCCCAGGAGTCGGGTTGGTCAAATTTGGGGGGGTGAACGTTGGGTTGGTCACCGTTGGGTTGGTCAACGTTGGGTTTGTAGACGTTGGGAGGGTCAGTAGTGGGGGGGTCGGTAATTGGGGGGTGGATGTTGGGGGGCTGGGGGTCCAGGGAGGCGACGTCGGGGCGGGTGGCGGTGGGAGAGGTGAAATGGGGAGATTTGGTGGTGGGAGAGGCGAAATGGGGAGATTTGGGGGTGGAAGGAGAACCAAAATGGGGAGATCTGGTGGAGGAAGAATCAAAGTCGGGAGATCTGATGGAAGAAGAGCCAGAACTGGGAGATCTGGTGGCAGAAGAACCAAAAGTGGGAGATCTGGTGACGGAAGAGCCAAAATTCGGCGATTTGGTGGTGGAAGAGTCAGAATTGGGCAATTTGATGGAAGAAGAAGAACCGAAATTGGGAGATCTGGTGGCAGGAGAGTCAGAATCGGGAGATCCGGTGATGGAAGAAGAACCAAAACTGGGAGATTTGATGGAAGAAGAACCAAAATTCGGAGATCCGGTGGTGGAAGAACCGAAATTGGGAGATTTGGTGGTGGAAGAAGAACCAAAATTCGGAGATCCGGTGATGGAAGAACCAAAAATTGGAGATTTGGTGGTGGAGGATCCAACGGTCGGGGGGGGAATGGTGGGAAGGTGGAGGTGCAGGAGGAGCTCATCAGGAAACTCCTCGGCGTCGGGATAATTAGCGGCCTCGGGGTAATTATAATCATTAGGAGAGCCGGTGTCGGGGTAATCGGTGCCAGGATAGTCGGGGTAATCAATATCGGGGTAATTAACATCGGGGTAATCAGCGGCAGCAGTCGGACGGGCGGCGCTGGGGGATCCGCTCCCAAATCCAACTTTTGGTGGCACAACGTTGGGAGACCCAGCCCCAAAACTGGGAGATCCAGCCCCAAATCTGGGAGATCCAGCCCCAAAATTCGGAGATCCAGCCCCAAAATTCGGAGATCCAGCTCCAAAATTCGGAGATCCAGCCCCAAAATTGGGAGCTCCACCATTTGGTGACCCAACGTTGGCAGATCCACTTCCAATGTTTGGAGATCCACCTCCAACGTTGCCAGATCCACCATTTGGTGACCCAACATTTGGAGCTCCACCACTTGGCGACCCACCATGGGCAGATCCACCATTTGGTGACCCAACGTTGGCAGAGCCAACATTTGGTGACCCAACATTGGCAGATCCAATATTTGGTGACCCAAAGCTGGAAGATCCACCATTCGGTGACCCAACATTCGGAGCTCCACCATTTGGTGACCCCACGTTGGCAGATCCAATATTTGGTGACCCAAAGCTGGAAGATCCACCATTTGGTGACCCAACGTTGGCAGATTCACCATTTGGTGACCCAACATTTGGAGCTCCACCATTCGATGACCCAAAGCTGGAAGATCCACCCTTCGATGACCCAACGTTGCCAGATCCACCATTTGGTGACCCAACATTCGGAGCTCCACCATTTGGTGACCCACCATGGGCAGATCCACCACTTGGTGACCCAACGTTGGCAGACCCGGCACCAAAACCAGGAGCTCTGCCATTCGGTGACCCAACATTCGGAGCTCCACCATTTGGTGACCCAACGCTGGCAGACCCGGCTCCGCCATTGGCTTCTCCCCCATCCCGAGACCCCCAGCCACCATCAGAACCACCTCCACTGTTATGGGCCGAACCAGAACCACCACCAGCACCACCATCAGCACCACCGTTACGGGCCGAACCGGCACCACCACCCCCATTATGGTCAGAACCAGCACCACCAGAACCACCAGTACCACCGTTACGGTCCGAACCAGCACCAACTCCACCATTATGGTCCAAACCAGCACCAGCACCATCAGAACCACCAGCACCACCGTTATGGACCGAACCAGCACCACCAGTACCCCCATTATGGACCGAACCACCACCAGCACCACCATTATGGACCGAACCACCACCAACTCCCCCATCATGACCCAAACCAGCACCAACTCCACCATTATGGTCCCAACCAGCACCAGCACCACCATTATGGACCGAACCAGCACCAACTCCACCATCATGGTCCCAACCAGCACCATCACCACCATTTTGGTCCCAACCAGCACCAGCACCCCCGTTATGCACCGAACCACCACCAACTCCACCGTTATCATCCAAACCACCACCGGCACCACCATTATGGACCGAACCGGCACCACCCCCATCGGACCCCCCCTCCTGACCCCCTCCCACCCCCCGGACCCTCACCAGGTGCCTCCCGGTGCCCGGCTCCACGTCCACCACAAAAGTATCGTAAGAGGTGGACACGTAAAGATCCACGGAACCGAAAGTGACGTCCAAAGTCACCCGGATGTCGACGTTGGTGAATTTGGGTTGGACCCCGAAAAATAAAGTTCGGGAAGCCCCCAAAGGGCGGCCGTGGGGGGGTGGGAAGCAGGCGTTGTGCGGGGAGGGGTCCAGGCAGTATTCCTGCTCCACCGCCAGCAGGCGGTAACACTGCCGGCCGCCGACCGGGTGGCCGTGGAAGGAATCGCGGCACTTGGAGCACTGCAAGGGGGGAAATGGGGGTTATGGGGGGGTTGTAAGGGGGCTATGGGGTGGGTATGGGGTCAGTGGGGGGTATGGGGTGGGTATGGGGT